AGAATTTGACTAAATCGTATGGAAATATCACGCATTACAACCAAACAATCAAGATGAAAAGAATGTTTTATGTGTTATTGCGTGATTGTTGCTTAAATGTTTAAAAATAATATTTTACATTTAAATTCTAGTAATGGATCCATTCGATTTATTTAATGACTGGTTTTATTTCCATGTTTTTGTGGCACTAACATTTATCCCATAAAAGTAGGTTTTGTTTCAAAACTTATGGAATATTATACTCAAACAACACACTGCTCGAAAGAAAATTGGTGATATACGTAAAGAAAATTGTTAAAAATAAATCATTGATGATAATAGCATTAAAATGTTGAAATTATTCCGAGCTGTATTACGCATGTCTTTTTTAACGTGTGATTATTTACATTAAAGTTGTAGATTTGTATTTATTTATAGTAAATACAATGCGAAGTGCATCGTTGTGATATTAAATGAAAACCAACGTCTATTTTATACAATTTTCTGGCTGAATTTATGAATAAATATTATTTTTGAAATGATATATGGCAATATTATGACACAACAAGACTTATGTGAATTATATTAGAAGATTATGTTGCGGAAGATGCATGCAAAGTCACAGGGGAAGAAGATCTCACGTATATTGGAATGAATACCACATAATATAAGGAGTGATCTTTGATAACGTGGCCATAGGATATATTTAGTGATCACTCGGACCAATAAAAAAATAACAGAATTTCGTTTAAGATGGTTTAGACATATTTTTTGTTCATAATGAAAAATATAGAATTACTGGCACGTGAATGGTAATGGAAAAATTTTCAAAATTTACATAATACGGTTCATAAAAGTGGATGGAAACTAGAACCAAGAAATTTCGCAGAAAAATTAGATAAATCACGAGTAAGTAAATATTGAGTTACATGTGGATGTCGAGATCGTACAATACAGGATGACAAGATCGGCAAAGTGAATCCATTATATGTGAACTTGAAAACAAGATAGTAGTAAAAAAAATGTGGGGAGGGAGAGGCAATAATTTAGTGTCCACAATCTATGTTTCGATTGATATGTCGACGTTATTAAATGTAATTGAATTTTATTAAAAAAATACAAGTATGAACTATGATTACAATAACTATTATTCTCATATATAATCTAGTTATTGTAAATAAAGGGCAAAATAATTGTTCATTTATAGTTAGTTATTATGCTAAAAGAAAATATTTACAAGTCGTTTAATTCATAACGATTTCTTTAGAAAAAAATATTACCTGTGTGTTAATGAATATCGACTGTATTGGATCCATGAATAAAATTTCAATTTAAATTGAACCGAGTTAAACGCAGTTTAACTTTCAACACATAATTTAACAGATTTATATTTTATGAATATTTTTGAAAATAGACCTTAATTTACTCAAACTTATACATATATATTTTATATACGATATCAATATGCTCTAATAACCACTTTTTCAAATATTAAATAAATGCATGTTTGAATGCATGTGGAATAATAAATGCATTTAAAAAAAAAAAATGTACAATCGCACTATATACAGGGGCAATATTGGCGTTTGAAATCGACTAGTGTTATGTACAACTAATCTAGACGCACAATAATAATATGAACTTATTTTTAAATAAAACGATGTGAAATTTACTGCGTGTAAACACTTTATTATACAGCGAAACGATACAGCTGTTTCCTACTAGTCTTTTATAGTAACTGTCAAATGTATTTGAATATTTTGCGTATTATTATTATTCGCTTGTATTAACATGATCTTTATTATCTGTTCAACTTAAACATTTTAAACGTATTATTATTACTCCAACGCCGCATGATAATATTAGTATGTTAGCGCACGTACGTCAATCACAACGTGAAGCAATATAATATTGGATTTATTTGCGCCAACGAGTTATCGTAGTATTAACTGTTCACGGATTCAATTTAATAGCACGTGACATTACGTGTAAATGTAAGCTATACCGAATAATATGCATACGGCGGACGCGAAAAAGAAATTAAATATAAATAAACCGTAAGATAACGGAGTGTTTCCTGTGTGTGTGATAGGAAAAAGTTAAATAACACCAGTTTTCTCGGACAACCACAAGGAGTGTTAATGTGCACGTGGCTCATCGATAATATTGTTAAAAAAAACTGATTTATTATGTCCGAAGGCGATGCATTGATACTTAATTTGTTGTATGAATTTAAATTACATCAAAAGCAACATAAATCTCATAAATAAAAACTTAAACAATCATGTTAAAAACACGAAGAACAATTTAAATCTTAAGTCGTCACGGTATCTATGACATTTAATGAAATTATGTATTCATGAATATGATAATATAATACAATATTAAATAAATTTTGTAGCTACAAGTATGCCCATATCTTAACCGTTGATTGGTAAAGAACATTGTTGATCATTGTAATATGTTATTAAACTAAAATACTGTAATAATAATTATTTTTATCAAGAAATTTCATTGTACAATATATACGTAATAGTTATCCTGATTATTTTTTGAATTTACAAGTGTAATTCTTTCAGCAAAAAACATTTTTATCGCGATCCTTTCGATATCGCGATGCGAATTGAAAATTAGCTTGAAAAAACGGAAAATATTTTCATGTTTGAGCACAATAAACTCACGTTAAATATCGAATTCACATGACATGACACATCAATCGCAATCTCATGTAAGTAATTGAATATACGAATCAGTTTTGGAAAATTGTATGCTATTGGTTGTAGCTCAGATTACATGTATACCATTTTGGACATGGTACGAATCACATACGTTTTTATATTTTAGCGCAAACTATATACGTTCGAACAATTCACACGTGTTCGTTCAAGTGACGGCTTTTGGTCAACGGTTATACGTGGCATTGGTGGCATACGAATGCTTCCACTTGGACTGTAAACTGCAATCGATATTGAAGTTTCTCGATTTGAGTGGTGCATTATTCCTTGGGAAACAAAAAAAAAAAAAAAATCCGTCGACGTATACGTGCAAAATTATCTTAGTGATAAGATCGTAATGGTGAACTGCTACGAAAAACTAATGGTATCGCGCCTAACGTGATGAAAACAAAAACGCAAAATAGGCGAGAATGGCATACTAAGAATAACAAAACGGCGCTTTGTATAGGCAATTTAGGTACATTCATGACGAGAAACGATTTTCAAACCACTCGCGCTCGCCTACGCATTCACAAATCGTTATTATTGTTTTAGGAACTAATATTTTACACTTTTATTGTAATGTACTCTCAACGTACCATATTATATATTATTATTATGGTACACCGGTAAAATCCGTTTTTCTTTTCAAAGTTTTTTTTTTCTCATTGGGAACGGAAAAAAACTCAGATGTTGTTTATAAGAATTTTTATTACGGGTAATAAAAATATTGTTGACAATGTTATTTTAATCGTAATAAACTACATTAAAAACAGTTGAAACATTTGGACGCAAATAGTTTAAATGACGCGATTCCTTAAACAAGTTGAGCACTATATCGGTTTTTTAAATAATAACATTTATTTTATTCACATTTTATTGTAACAACAGCCGTACTTGCATATAATATTCGTATTTATATATACTCGGGGTGGGCAACTGGTGGCCCGCGAGCCTTTTTTATCTGGCCCATAATATATTTTAAAATTACATCATACAATTTTAAAGTTTATCATCTGTATTCTGACTTATCGATATAATAATTGTTATCTAGTATTAAACATCGTTTAGTTTTCAACCGTAGTTGTTTGTACCGAACTATTTAACTATATCAGTTGCTTCATACCATTCGTATTATGCTGTCATGTGTGTTTAATTTATTATTTTCGTGTACATAAATGCTAATTAAAATTCATATTTTGATTGATTTTTTTTTCTTTTCTATGCTCTAGCCCGCTAGATTTTAATTTTCTAAAAACTAGCCCTCTAGTAACTTTGAGTTGCCCATCCCTGATATATACCAACAAAAACATTGTTTTTGGCAGGTTATCGATACCAATAGTGATCCTACTTATCAATAGTCACCATTATCAAATTATTATAATTATTCAGTTACCATTACGAAGTGACCACTAGATTCACGCTACTTAAAGAGCCTATACATTAGAGAGTGGCCATTATAGCTCTTATCGATGGATAAACACGTTGATCATTTTTTGTCTTCGATGTTTTGAACATGCTTTAAATCACATAAGTTATATCTAATCTGTAATCTTTTGTCAGCACGAACTGAATTCTAATCCATGATTATCTATAGTTAATATTGGGCAAAAATTACAAATTATCTGTTATTCTCGAAATACTCCCACTATTAAGTTTTTGATCAGATTGAGTCCTAAATATACTTGAATGATATATTAATTAACAGAATTATTCGTATTGGTTGGACAAAAGTGTTATCGATCGGTACATACCTATATAAGCTCTCTAATAGTTTGTGGTGTTTTCAGCAAATATAATTTCCAAAGTGATCTATTTCCTGATAATATTTTTTTCCGAAGTTCCATATGCTTAAAACTCTATTTCTCAAAGATCATTTTACCCGACTGTTATTCTTCCAAAAAAAAAAAAAAAAAAATCTATTTACGATAAAATTAAAATCGCATAAAGTTCACAATCTCAATGTAACTTAGCGATTAAAAATAATAATATCTAGTTAATAGTATAACATATTGACATATTATAAAACTCGGTATATGAAAATCATCACTCGTAACAATGCCAACAACTAACCAATAAGGGTCATCCCCAATTGATTTTTATATATTTTCGTTTACTAGAGTATTTTGATGATTTTTGATTTTTCTGGAGAAATACCATTCGGAAACAATACCATTTGAGGGAAAGGATGTTTGAAACTTACGGGAAAATACTATCGAGGCAAGACGATCATTCGGGAACTTGGATTCGGGATAAAAAAGCGGCGGTACCTACCCTATCACGACAGCGGTACAAGGTGCCACTTACCTAGTAGCAATAGTGTGAGATCGGACACGGCCAAGCTGAACAGGTAGTAGTTAGTGGCCGTGTGCATGAAGTTGTTGCGGACGATCACCACGCAGACGGCTATGTTTCCGATCACGCCTGTGACGAAGATGAACACGTAAATGGCGGTGATGGGCACGACTATGTTCAGCGACAGATGCTTGGGCCCGCGGGTCCTCAACAGGTAACTCTCCATCGTCTCGTTCGCATCCTCTTCGAGCTGCACCAGGTACGAACCGGTGCCCGTCGTGTTGCTCATGTTGTCGTCGTTAGCACCGCGGCACCGAGCACGGCGTCCATTTACACGCAGCCCCTGCAACGGATCCCAAACAAATCGATGTAATGTAACACGCACTGACGTATTTACACCCCGGGGAAGTTTTTTCGAAACTTTATTATTGGTAAGCAAACAACGTGCGTAAATCATTTATTCGAAATCAGAATCGATGGATAAATATTTGTTCGAAACGATGGGTTCATCGTCCTACGACCATAAGAAAATGTTCCCACGATCAGCGCTGATCCGAACAATATATAAATCATATATTGACTTAAAAACTTTATGTAAATTACATATCGACAGCCACTTCCGAGAGAACTTTTTCAACTTTAAAACTAGTACGAAAACTTATTTGAGGGACATTTAATGAGTTAGAAAATTGTAACAAAAATTGTACCGTTCGCCGATCGGTATCACGTGTGTTTAAATATTCAAGTATTTACTATACGAATCGAAGACATTGGATACTAGTTATGATTAAGAGTTTGGTCTTGTGCAGGTTTAATTATTTAATATATTTATGATGGTACTGTTCCAAACTAAATCAACTATTATTCAAGTGATCGTGATAAAACGTGATAAAAGATAAGTTCAGTTTACAGGTGTACATACATCTTGATACATATGAGCACTCATGTAAATCTTACTAATTTAGTTACTTTGTTACGCTAGAAATTGAGTTTTGAAGTAGATTTCAACAATAACTTAACAATTATTAAATCATTCATTTTTTTGATTCTGAATGAAACGAGGAATGTATTGTGTGTTCTTTTGTTATATTGTGATCTTGATATGTGAGTTTTTTTTCTTGTGCATCTATGTACATAATTTCAACCAGAAGGATTGTTTCGATCACAAAAAAATAAAAAATAAAAAATAAGAATTGGTTTCTAGTTGAAAGGTGGTCACTTTTTTGATTTCTCAATAGTTTCCCAAATAATTTAAAAAATACAAGGAGGAGAGTTCGCATAATAGTATTTTGATGTAATTTACTTACATACCTAAATTTTTTGTTGTGAAAGTTATAAAATTGAAAATTCAATTTACCTTGTTAAGAAAATCAGTTAACTAGTATCTGTCTATATTGACTATCTTTAGAAATATAAGCTCATTCATTTAGAATAATTTTTTTGAGAGAATGGTATATTGGTTTTAAAGACCAATACAACTATATCATTCATCTATCTTTGTATCCTATGCCACCTGGGAGTTATTCTGGTTTTTTTTTTTTTTATAATACTAATTAGTTTTTTTTTATAATATGTACATACAAGTAGTGCAATAAGTAAATTTGATAATTATAAAATATAGAAAAAGTAAATTACAATGTTAATTACATTTAGTTATGGGAAATAAGGCACACTAATTTAATTTTAAATATAGCAATATAAATTAATTTATTATAGTTATATAAATTATTTATCCATAAGTTTATAATTCATAATTTAGTTATGTAATCTATATTTTGTTTTACGCCATAATATCTATGTGGAAATGCTATACTAACGTGATCCCCGAATGATTCTAATTTCAGTCTAATCTTAGTCAAATACAATCAAATGTACTATTGAGATGAGTTTGGACAAAATCGCTTGATGATGTGAAACAGACGTGAATGTCTGTCGTTGCTCTGATTTTGCGAACTCATCAGCGTAGGCGCAACTAATTCAACAATTTTAGTGGATCACAAAACGTATAGAGCTCATTAACTCGTAGGTGCTTTACTCTTCCCCTCTAATTTGCATTATAAAATGTACAATATCTCCTTGTAGATGTACATTTTAATTCACAATAAAAACAATTTTAAAAATAATTATAGCTACAGTAAGCAATAAGCATAGAAGATTAAAAGTTTAAAATAAATCGGAATCAAAAACTTGAAATGCAAAAATGCCTCCTGTCGACCCTTTTGGGTCTTGTGCATCGACAATAAAAAATTTATTCCTTCCCGCCACTTATTTTTGTTCACGATTGCACGAATATTCTAATATATTATATATATATATAGTCTAATATTCTAATAATACATTATAATAATAATATGTAAATTTATCGAATGCACATATATGTTTATACATACTAAAATGGGTATTTTAATTAAAAACGGATTATCATGCATTTATCATACGTATACGTAATGATATTGGTGGTTTTCGTCGTATAGACGACTTTTCAAAGTAAACAAATGTACATACATTACCTATGCAACAATCCACAGATTCCACAGATTGTTATGTATCGACGGTCACTAATATTACATAACAAACCGAGTTCGCTTTAGTTGTTTCAATTTTATCGTTTCTAGTCGTTTGCAGTACTAATAACTTAGAAATATAATTCAGACGGATCCCATCCACGGATTTGATAATTTTAAACACTATGAATAAATTATGATTTTAGTTATAAGTAGCTTATAAATAAATTTCAATATAGAATCATTTTGAAAGAAAATATTAGAACTAATTAATTCTATGATATAATACAAAATGTTACAATATAAAATTGAAAAATTGACCCTATTTACTCGTATTTAAAAAATTAAAAACAGAAAAAAGCAAAAGTTATGTAATTTTTTTTATAATTTTTTTTCTTTAATTTAAAAAATTATCAATAACGTTATAAAATAGTGACGCAAATAGTTCTTATGAATTCCGAGTTTGGACTTTTAAAAGGTTTAAATAATATTTTCTAGTTATTTAAGTAATATGTATACTCGTATAGTTTATTTATAAACACTCTAAATGGTTTAAAATTTAATATTACAAGTATACATGGCTTATGTAAAATGTTTTTTTTTTTTTTTTTAATAACCGATAAAGTTATTTATATAAGCGTACATGAGTTGCATTTGATAAGTACATATTAATACCAACATATTAATAAGCTGTTATTTATGAATATTATTAATTTCAGTTTTTATCAATAAATACAGTATCACCTCGATAACTCGTATTTTCGATAACTCGAAGGAATGTCTTGGCCCCTGCCTTACAATATATGATATACGTGATAAATTTTGTCGATAATTCAAATTTTGCTAACTCGAATTTCTCGATAAGTCGAAGTATTTATAGTTGAATTTTGGCTTATAACTCAAATTTATATAATAATATATAACACCTACATACCTCGATAACTCGAAGGTCAAATAACTAAGTGTATGATTATAAATAACGATAATCGTAAATGAAAACCTATTAATATTATCAATCTAATATTTACCTATTGCTTAAAAGGACAGTTATAAATTTAACGCTATATTATAACTTTGCCTAAAACTACTCATACCCAGGCATTACATATTTTACAGGTTGTATATAAGTGCATTCAAAAACAATGAGAATATTGGAGAAGAAATTTTTTACGTGCTAAATGTTATTGATAACTTTAGAGTTAAGTCAAACAATAAAAAACAATCAAAAATATCAGATTTCTTTAAAATATAGTTATAATTTATTCATTACATTGTATTTTCTTTATTACATACAATTTATTACTTTTTTAACTTATACTAATTTTAAAATTTTAATATAATATACATACCTACATACATTATATATTTATTAGTAAATATAGTAACTCGAATTTTTTTTGCCGATTTGAGTTATCGTGGTTCCACTGTAATTGACTTGCTCAAAAATTCACATTGTATTAAATCATATTATTCTTTCCTAGAGCATAACAGAGTGAGAACAAGTGCAATAGCACTCCACAATTTTAAACTAGTTTTTTTAATAAATTTATTTTAAACAATGTGTAAAGGTTGAATAGTTGTCCATAACGATATTTGTATACAACCCTTGAAATACCTGGGATAGCAATGCACATTCATCCTCAATGACCCCACTGAATCCCTCACAAGTAACTGCAACATCCGGTAGAGGAATTTCAGCCACCGAGATAAATATAGGTACAGTTTGACCAAGCCTTTATAACATAAATTTTAATTAAAAATTGTCTTGAAATAGGACAAGAATAGCGAAGAACATTAGTATTTTCTTAAAGTGATTCGATTTCTGTTTCACGGGTTAGATTTTTGTATAAATGTTGAAAATGGAAAAATGAAATGTTGTTTTCATCGAAATATGTTCACTATTTTTTTTGATGATATTTATTTTTTCATTTTTTTACTTTTACTTTTACGTTACTTTATTGACCATAAAGATGGTTCGTCAAATAAATCATTAATTATCTGACTATTTTTATGATCTTTGTAAAACGGGAAATTGTGTTGTTTTCGGACAAAATTATTGGTCACTTCAACACTGACTGAATATATACGAGCACTTTATAAGTATACAAAAAAGCTTAATAGCTTGAAGGCTAATATATACAATATCATTATATACCATATTCGTATAAATAACCAGTCTATTAGTTTTCTAAAATATGAACATTTTAATTCAAAATTAAAGAAAAATTATACCCTATTATGTAGTTAAGTTGAGGTATATAGGTTTTCAGTAATATATATATATATATATATTTAAAATATATTAAATAATGAAATTATATTGAAAATAATTTTTAAAATAAATATATTTCATGAAGTAAATAAAAGAAATAGAACAAGAGAGTGAAAATCAAAATATTATATTTGATAGAATTCATTATTAGATTTCGTAAAAAAATGCACAAACGAGTATTTATTTGAAAAGAAAATTTATTTTTTAATTAAAATGTAATATTTGTGAGAAGGCATTCTTTCTATACTAATTAACATGCTTTTTAATTTATTTACAATATATTAATTTATTACATCTATATTACTATTGCAAAATACTTAATACATAAAAATAATCCAATAAACATTTTATTCAATTAAAAAATAATATCATATAATATACTTAATTTGTTCCAAATAACTGTAAACAGCAAGTATATAGTATAAGGCTATTTGTTTAAAAATTAAATAAATTAATGTAGTAAAAATTCTTATAAAATTATGATAATCAAAATAAAAATCAAATGTATAGGTGATATTTTAGAAATATTATTAAATTTATTACTCTTATAGAAATTTGAACAGAACA